GGGGGCCATGCTTATTCACCCCCCACCCTCCCACATACACATGTATACCAGAGTAGCCCATTAGGCGCATTTTACACTATTCAAATTATTTTATAATCCAGAATTCTTAAGTGTGCCAAATTCCTCCTGCAAACCAATCCCAAATACCTAAAACCCACATGGCTAAATTCATCATAGCAAGTCCCACTTCCCAATACCAAACTGTGTCTTAGTAACTTTCTTATCACTGTTGTAAGATACCTTGACAAGCTGGGCGGTGGTGGTGCACGCCTTTAATCCCAGCACTCGGGAGGCAGAGGCAGGCGGATCTCTGTGCATTCGAGGCCAGGCTGGACCGATAGCCTCTGAAACAATACAGAGAAACCCTGTCTCGTAAAAAAAAAAAAAAAAAGATACCTTGACAAAAGCAATTTAAGGGAGGAAGAATTTATTTTCACTTATACTTCCAGGAACTTGTCTTAATTAGTGTTCTATTGCTATGAAGATACAGCATGATCTTGACAACTCCATAAAAAAAATCTAATTGTGACTGGCTTACAGTTTCAGAGGTTCAGTCCATTGTCATCATGGTGGGGTCCATAGACATACAGGCCGATGTGGTGCTGAAGGAGTAGCTGAGAGTCCTACATCTGGATCCACAAGGATGGGGAAGAGAGAGACACTGGGTCTGACTTGAGCATTTGAAACCCCAAAGCCCATCCCCAGGGACAAACTTCCTCCAACAAGGCCACACCTCCTAGTCCTTGTCAAGTAGTGCCACTTCCTAATGACCAAGCATTCAGATCTATGAGCCTATGGGCACCATTCTCATTCAAACCACCATGGGGCTACAGTCCATACTGGTAAGGAAGGGCTACAGATGTAAGACATAGTGGCAGGAACAGGAGGCTGGCTAGCCACATTGTATCCCCACTCGGGAAGCAGAGGGTTAGCTGGAAATGTAGTTGGGTTATAAAACCTTCAGGCTCATTCCAAATGACCCACTACTGCCAGTGAGGCCCCACCTCCTAAAGGTTCTGCAGCCTTTCCAATAGTACTATCAGTTAGTGTCTAAGTGGCTAAACACACGAGCCTGTGGGGCACATTTCACATTCAAACTATCAAACACACTAAATTCAATAACATATTTAAAAGATCATATACCATGACCAAGTAGAATTTATCTTTGGGATAGAAAGAAGTTTCACCACACACAAATGAAATGATGTAATATAACCATATTTACCAAACACAGAAAAAAACATATGACCATCTGAATAGATGCAATAAATGCAGAAAATATATTTGACAAAATTCCATATTTTTCCATGGTAAAACAAAAACTTCTCAGCAAACTAAGAACAAGAAAAACAATTAACTAAAAAAAGATTTTTGCAGTAAATAAAGCAATCAACAAAGAAAAACAGCAGCCTACAGGATAAAGAGAATATTCATAAGCCATATGTACAATAATGAGTTATGCAAAACATATACAAGATTCATAAAACTCATTAGGAAAGTTAAGTGCCAAGCACCTGCATAGACTTCCTCCCAAAGAAAACATCTAAACAGCCAGAAGGCATGAGAAAAGACATTTAGTGTCATCAACCATAAACGAAACATAAATTAAAACCTCAATGAGATGTCACCCTTCAACTATTATGATTGCTTTTATCAAAAAGCCAAGAGATTGATTACACAAATATTGTAAGGTGGTTGAAGAAAAGGAAGTCCTTGTACACTGTTGGCTGGAAAATAAATTTGTATGGCTATTCATTACAGAAAGCAAAACTTAAAAATAGAATTATTATATAATCTAACACTCCAAGTCCTGGGAAATAAAGTTGCCTTCTTGAGAGGATAATTCATTCCTATGATTTATTACAACATAATCTGGAGTAGCCAAGACATAGAACTCTAAAGTATTTGTAGACAGATGAATGGAAAAAAATAAAATAGATATGCATGCGTACGTGCACACATACACACAAACCAGATTTAACAGTCTACCATATTTTTTTAATTTTAAAATAAAAGTAAGCCCACATTATCTTAGCCCCCACTTTTCACTTAAAATGAAATTATTTATATATTACCCATCATCCCATCATTAAAAACCCTCTGTATTTTATACCTAGCCAGCATTCCATAGATGTATAGACTTGTGACTTCCTTGTTTCTTTTTTTGTTTGTTTGTTTTGTTTTGTTTTTACGAGACAGGGTTTCTCTGTATTGTTTTGGAGGTTGTCGGTCCAGCCTGGCCTCGAACTCACAGAGATCCGCCTGCCTCTGCCTCCCGGGTGCTGGGATTAAAGGCGTGTGCCACCACCGCCCGGCGACTTCCTTGTTTCTTAACTACCAGATTAGTTTTGAGTGTGTGAAGAACACCTAGTGAGCAGAATCACACAAGTATCTGCAGTTTGTTCTCCTTTGTTATTTTCTAGAACCAAGTTTTAGATGAGGAACTGCATCTGCAAAGGTCTGAGCAGTTACACACACGCACACACCAGACAGTGTGCCACAGAACACCAAAAACATTTCCACAAAGAGCCACAACTTAAATTCCTCCTGCAAGAGAGTGGATATCAGTGTGCTGATTTCACCCTCCTCTCTGACATTTGAACTTTTTTCAAGAATTAAAAACTTAATCAATATTCAAGGTGAGTTCTGATTGGCCATTAAGGGTGAGCTTTGATAAACACAGGCCCAGGACCACAGCTCACCTGAGTTTAATGTGGCCCAGCTCCAGCAAGCAGCCAGGAGGTAGAAGCTCATTCGAAACGGGGAGTAAAAGAAACATTTGCAACAGACACAAAGGAGGTGGGTTTTCTGAGGTTTCAAAGCATGTCAAATGTGTGTCCTCTCCCCAAGAAACTCTCTCCCATGCAACAATGGGCCATATTATTATACCCTCATTTGTGACCTAATGTTTCATATTCTTTGCTTTGAAACTCATTTGCACATGCATGGAATTTGTGGTGGTGGAGAAAGTAAATTAGTCTCCCAGACAGTTTCATTAAGACTTGTTCCGGAAGTAGAGCCACAACAAATTGAGCCAAAGATTCCGTTTGTGTGTTTATTTTTCTGTTACAATCAATAGTGCTTTGTCTGCTTAGTGCTACATGGATTGTCACCCTGAGACCCCTCTTTTTAGTGGCCCCCACCTTTCTGGAGTCATTTCACACTGAAGAAAGAGTTAAGACTTCTGTTTAGAATTCAATCCGATGCTGCAGAAATATTTCTTGCAATGAGCTTAAGGTGTTTCTACTTGCCAGAGTCCCTTCCTGTGATGAGGACAGCCACAGACCAGTTTGTAGAGTCCATAGGACAGAGGTTCTCAGCCTTCCTTATTCAGTTCCTCATGGTTTGGTGACCCCCCCAACCATAAAATTATTTCTGTTGCTACTTCATAACTGTAATTTTGCACCTGTTATGAACTGTGATGTAAATATCTATGTTTTCCCATGGTCTTAGGCGACCCCTAGGAAAGGGTCATTCTACTCCCAAAGAGGTTGCAGCCAGTAGATAGAGTAATGCTACCATGGCTACCAATTACAGGGGCCACTCCAGACCTGTGCAGACCTTCAGAGTAAAACTACATCTGGAGGAAAGCACAAGGAATTCTACACATCAGGCAGGGTAGGAAGCCAATTTTTTCTCAGATAATATGGTCCCACATCAATAGATACAAATGTGTTTCCAGAAATAGCTGAGAGCACACAGCTAAGGTGTGCTTTTGCCCTGGCGTCTTGGGTGCCTTGGCAACCTCTCTGCCATTGGGCAGCCTCCACTTTCCCGCCGGGATTTGCTGATGGATGTGATTGCTGAGTCAGTTTATCCAGGCCTTAGGGCAAAGTTTGAGTTTTGAATTTTCTGAGATTTTTTTTGTTGTAGTAGATTCCCCCAATTCAGATAAGTAGTAATTAAGTGTTGAAATGAAGAAAGCGTATTTATTTTAGTGTTAGGGAAATACAACATAGATATCAGAATCCGCCATTCTGTGTTTATTGATCTTGATCTGTTTTGTTTCTGTTTTCAAAATTTCAATTTGGGGAAGAGATGATTAGCACCTGAGCTCCTATTTGCTGTCACCACTAACATCGAGAGAGAGAGAGAGAGAGAGAGAGAGAGAGAGAGAGAGAGAGAGAGAGAGAGAGAGAGAGAGAGAATATATAAGAAGAAAATGGTTCCTAGAAGTTAAAGATGTTAATGTCTTAGCACTAAACAGTATTAAACTTGGGGTCTTTAATTTTTTTTTCCTTTGGAACAAGAATAATGTTTCATAAAAACAACAACAAAAACAAACAAAAAACCAGCCAGTGTAAGTTTTGCTCATTAATGACCAAATATTTATTTCTGATCATAATATTAAACTCCTCTGTGGCAAATACACACAAATGGCTGTGAATACATTGTTTGTTCTCTCTTGGAGAAGAAAAATGTCTCCTTCCTCAGGGCGAGAAATCTGTTATTCTATGTGGCTTTCAGAAGGGAGGTCACACATTTTTGTATTGATTTTACTTCCTATTTGGTAGCAAAATAATGTGAGAAGAGGCAGTGCGTATTCCTGGCGACAAGCCCAGATGCTAAAAATTATGTGCCAGGACATTGTCTGGATTCCATCTCTTTCCCAGAAACTTCATGGTAGATAAACACTCTGCACCCAGCATCAGAGACACCTGTGTACTTTCAGGGGTCATTTTCTGGCAACTCATTACTTGTAAGCACAGGCCAATTGGATTCCAGATGCTGCTTGGAACTCTGTAGTAGCCCCATTGCACAGAAAGACGGCTCCAGGCAGTGGCCTCCTGGAACCTACCACCAAAGCACAAAGAGACTATGCATAGCAGCCCACACTCTTGCTTGCCCTTTATTTTTCATAAGGAGACTGGGATGGGGGGGGAGGTAAAAGAACCATTTCATCCCCCTGCCCCAAAGGTTGATGGGATGGGAAAAGGGTTTGGAAAAATTGCAGCCTGCTTCCTTTGACCGGAAATGATTGTGCAATCCCTGCTCTTCAGGCAACATCAGGAACACAGAGAAGCTGAGCTTTGACAAACAACGTCAGTATGAGATCCTGGTAACTGCTTATGACTGTGGACAGAAGCCTGCTGCTCAGGACACCCTGGTACAAGTGGATGTGAAGCCAGTGTGCAAGCCTGGCTGGCAAGGTGAGCCTGGCTTTATCAGTCCTGCTTGACCTGGGCACAGAGGGTGCTGCGCGTGCCTACAAATCTCACAGCACATGTCTAAAGGAAGTTTAAAAGTAGAGTCGGGGCTGGTGAAAAGTGGTAGTTCTTGAATTCTCATAAGTCTTCCAGGATGTACAATCCCCATTTTATAGTTGAGGATGTCAGAGGCAACTTGATTCTAGTCACAGTTCTCCCTTACTCAAATTCCATTACATTTCAGAGCTTGGAAGAGATTGTCAGGGTCTGTCGACCAATTGTTGAGCCTGGCTGATGCACTTCAAGTTCTGCATCGCTGCTCAGCACCGAGGGAATGTCTGCAAGGTCCTTGTGCTTAGACACAGTGCCTATCACACAGGGCTGGGAGAAAAGGATTGGGTCTCTGGGCAAGGGAGTTTCTGAAAGCCTGGTTCAGGGAAGGGCAGAGAAATGGTCAGTTTAGATCTTTCAGGAAGCAAAGACCAAGCACTCTCCAGCCACCCCCAGGTGGCTGACTGAGGACAAGGAAGGAAGGCACGGGTAACTGCATAGATGGCTCTTGTAGTGAACCGAGCAATCTTTAGAATAATAGCAATAGCTCTAAGTGGCATCAATGGGCTTGGTGGCCAAGGAGGGCCAGTGTTGTCTTTGTGTCTCAGGTTTGGTGCAGACCTCTCTGTTTCTTCTACATATGTTAAGGATGCTATCACTCAAGCTTAATTCCTAGTAATGAAGGAAAGAATGGACCACAGAGCAGACAAGCCAGGCTGGAATAGGACACTGGTTTCCCAATTCCAGCCTGAGCTCTGGTGGGTGTAATTCACTAGGATGTGAGAGGAGGATTTTATCTCATTTATTGTTGTACTTCTTAGGCTTAGCACATGTCTGGCCCTAATGGAAGATGCTTAAGAAATGATGAATGAATGAATGAATGAATGAATGAATGAATGAATACCTGAGTAAGAAGTCACTGTGTTTTATTTTAACTTGTAAATATCAGCAGTGAAAGCCTGGACTTTAAAAAGAAAGTCTAGAAAAAAATATATGTTTAGTAAGCACAGTGCATGATCACAATGGGGTTTTTAATGGGAAAAGCAAAACATAAGGTTGTGTCTAAAAAAATCATCTCAGTACTTTTTGTCTTTGACAAATGAGGCACTTACAGTGTTCATGCCTATATTTAAACAAAATTTATTTATAGAGTTTTGTACTTGTTAAATCTATGCAAATTTAGTGTTAAAGTGTATGGAGGGGAAAAAAAGCTTGACATCTTAATTTTTTGTATGAAAGATGTATGTGTAATACTTCTGACAATGCCTGTAAGAGAGCTTGGGCAGCCAGAGTGGAGCCAGCTGCCAGTCCTGTCTCCAGCATCATCAGAGGACCACAGTAAACCCTCACAGTGTTTAGAGAATCAATGAATGGCAGGGAGACCTCAGTTTAAAACAGAAAAAGCAGAAATAAAAAAGACTTTCCTGGTAGCCGGGCATTGGTGGCGCACACCTTTAATCCCAGCACTCGGGAGGCAGAGGCAGGCGGATCTGTGTGAGTTCGAGGCCATCCTGGTCTACAGATCGAGTTCCAGGACAGCCTCCAAAACAATACAGAGAAACCCTTTCTCGAAAAACCAAAAAAATAAAAAAGACTTTCCAGGAAGAAAGTGGGAGGAATCAGGTCCCTGTGTCAGTCCATCGTGTCGGCAGTGAGTGAGCTACCCGTGTTCAATACTGGATTCAACTTTTCCCCCTGGTTCCTTGCCTAAGCTGACAGCTTGTGGTGGCAGGTGCTGTACAAGAGTGGTGTACGTGGTTTGTACATTGAGAGCCTCTCCTTCCAGTTTACCCTCTGCAAGCTCCACCAAGTCCCTCCCCCACCTACTACCCCAGCAGCCTTTCCGGTCATAGCTGTGCTCTCTAGGTTATCTGCTGTGTGCAGGAGTGGTCACAGTACCTTTCTGCCATTTATGTCCCCACCCCTGAAGCACAAGGGGACATTTCTCTTGCCCACCTAACATGCTGGTCCCAGGTGTGTAAGCACCTCTCATCTCCAGCTCTCTACCGTGGGCAAGGCTGCAGGCTCTGATCTCACATGGTCCTGGATATATTTTTCTTGCCTGGTCCATTCTCCCAGCTTTTCAGGTCAACCTGTAGTGAGCCATGCCTTGCAGGCTTCTCTGCTGCCTATAGACCAGACAGGCCACCTCTCATGGTAGGAGCATGGTTGAGGGAATACTGTGTGTGGGAGAGGAGCCCAGAAAGGGGATGTCCTTTGGGGGAAGAAGAGTAGCCTAGCTTTTAGAGGCTGTAATGATTAGGAAATGGAGGAGGCATGATTGGAGAGGTCAGGATTGGGTGAGATGGCTGAGATCTTGAGTCAGGGTGAGGAACCCCATGGGGGAATCACATACGCGTGCCCAGTGAGATTCCCTGTAGTTCTGTCGGAGCGCCCAAGCCCCTCCCCAGCTCACTTCTGCTAGCAGCTCAAGTCAGCCAACACAGTTTGGCAGTTTAAATTCGTGTACCTGTTCTAAGCCATTTCCCTGCAGGCAGGAGGGTTTGTAACACAGTGAGAGCAATCCATCATGTTCAGGAGCCCTGCCTCCTGGGAGTACTCCCAATCAGCACCCCACCAAGCCTTCATTATAGCCAGTTCCTCTCAGGGCGCTGTCACTGCTCAGCAAGGGGACCTGCTCATAGGAGTCTCTGGAGCCCACAGGGAATCTGCTCTCAGACACCAATGATGGTCCGGAGCAGTGGCCCCTGATTTGTCACAGTAACCCCTCCCACATGATGGCCCTTGCCTTGCTCACCTGCGCCTGGCCTTCCTCACCCACGTATAAGGCACTGGTTCGGCCATCAGATTTATTTCACACTTAGCCAAGGTGTGATCCCTTCAGACTATGGTTTTCTAACTCCGATCTCTTTTCTGTGGATTGGTCTTGTCTTCTCAGAGAACACATGAGCTCCTGGAGGGCAGAACTGTACTTCTCACAGCTTCTGATGTATCACTTACACATATGCTAAGACTCACTTGCTAGCTCCACTCCCCTGTGGGTGGAGGGGGGACTAGTCAGGGATCCAGCTGGCAGCAAGAGAAGGAAGGATTTGTATGCAAAACATGAACTCTGGGTACCAAGCATGCTAATCTATCTGACTCTCAAAGATGACTCTGAGGCAGTAACACTGACAAGTGAAAGGTGGCAGCTCACTTTTATTTGGGGGGGGTCAGTATTCTTTTTCCTATTTGGACAGGGAGGAAGGGACCTCAAAGCACAAAGTGCATCTTTGTTGTGCGAGACAGTTTGAGAAGTGATGTGCTTAGAGGCACATACAGTTGTGGGATGAAGGACTCTACCAGAAACCAGCAAAGAAGTGCATCCGTAGCTAGCTTACCGCTGGGCAGAGGTGGGCTAGCATCATGCCTTTCCCTCTTGCTGCTGGGTGAAATTTTGTCAGCTGGCCTGGGTGTTCTACAAGGACACGGAGCAGGATCCACACCTGTGGGGAGCAGATGAGCTCCCGAGCCAATGCGTATTGTGGATATGAGCACAGCCATGTCAAGGACCCCAGGACCTCTGACTCACAGGAATGGCAGGACATTCCCCTGTTCCCTGGGGCTGTGTGCAGATGTTGACAATGTATGTAGACAGTGTCAACAGCAGCTTCCTCTGCCATGATATGTACAGCCTGAGGCTGCTCCATGAAAGAGACCCCCTACATAGATCAGCAAAACCTTCCCTTTTGTTCAGCTGCATACAAGAAACCCACCTCCTTGATACAGATGTATAAAAGAAACACTGAGTCTCAGGCTGCTACTGTTGGTAACACATACTAAGTTAGATCATTTCTACCTGATTCTGCCAGCTGAGACCCAAACTCAATGTCCCTTCATGCAAGATGATTCCCCCTACAAAAGACAGCCCTGGAGATGGGCCTTCCTGGTGGCCTTTCACTATTTCTTCCCTGGACTTGTAATTGACCCAGACAACCAGACTAGTGGATCTGAGCTTCCCAGTCTGTAGAGTCAGTTCTCCAATCCCCACAAAATTCCCTTAGCCCTGAACAGAGGCCTAAGGAAGTTAGACATGCCTCCCTTGGAAGTCCACTCAATTACAAGATTCTCCGTGGGGTCAAACACCTTTTCTTTAAACCTTCACAATGATGCATCCCGTTTATATAAAAAGAAGAGAGATGTGGTCGTGTAGTTGAACACTCTTTCTGTGTTCCCTTGATTTGGATGATTCTGCAGGTACATCAAATCACCCCAGATGCTCCACGGTTTCACCACGCTTGCCTAGGGAAGGAAGCATGACATCTTTCAGGGAGCACTTCTTAAACCTGAATGTCCCCACAAATCAGCCAGGGGGCTGGATAAAATGCAGGCCCAGACTTAACAAGACAGGGCCCCAGGGAATGCAGGTGCATGGACTTCATTTTGAATAAGATGATCATGTGGAAGGCACCTTTAAGGTCACAGAGTGTGTCTTTAACTTTTGTGTTGAAAGGACAGCAACAGAAAAGCTACTGGTTGGTATTAATACTCCTACCTTAGTCATACCGGTAGAGAGATCAGAGCATGTGTATATTACAATGCAGAAGATGGTCATAGAGTGAACATTCCCATGACCACCAAACAGTTCCCTCATTATAGAGGCTGTCTGTGTGGCAAAGGCAGGGCCTACAAAGACCTATCTAGATGTGACCTATCAGAGGAAACAATGGCACACTGAAGATAAAGGACATGGTATTGGGACCTATGGAAGTACAAATGAGATACTGAACTTGAAACAAGCAGGAGTCCTTGGGGAGCCATACCTGGCTCAAATCTAGATCAGTAGATGGTTTTGAACACAGAAGAGAAGGATGTTACAGACCCTACCAAGTGTTAGGAAAGTGGAAGGGACCACAGTATGGCTGAGCACAGAGGAGGAAGACTAGACTGATCAAAAGGGCCAAGATCATGGAGAAAGACTTCATTGTCATTCTGAGGGCAGGGAGAAGCCC